TTGCTGACAGGATACCATTCAAAGATAATTTTGTCGAGTTTCTCTCATAAACCCAGGGCTCAAAAACATTTATAGCATCTGTCCTAATTACTTAATTAGTTTATTCCTTTAAAATTAGCTCAAATAAACAGTGTGTTGTCCTTACAGGTAAAGTGTGTAACTGCAACTACAGTAGCATCACCAAATTAAACACACTCACTACCGTTCAAGTTTGGAGTCACAAAGATAGATTTATTTACTGTTTGTTTGTATGAGTATTAATATTTGTATCTAGAAAGAATGCATTAAATTGATCAGAATGTTGTTTTGAACTTTCTATTCATCAAAGAATGTATTAGTTTCCACAAAAATATTAAGCAGCAAAACTATTTTCAACTGTTATAATAGAAATGTTTCTTGAGCATCAAATCAGCATATGAGAATAATTTCTGAAGGATCATGTGACACTGAAAACTAGAGTAATGACGGCTGAAAACCTAGTTTTTGCATAACAGGAATGAATTACATTTTAAAATATATTCAAATAGAAAACAGTTATTAAAATTGTAATAATATTTCACAATATTACTGCTTGTTCTGATTTATCCTGGTGAATAATTTCACCACTACTATATGTTGCTTAGAGAAGTGAATGGCACGATGGATGGGACTATACCTGTTGTCTGAACATAGGAGGATTGGGGACTGTTGAAACCTTTTTTTTTTATTTTGAAAATACATTATTTGTGTGATTCTGTATCACAGAGATGCATCTCTGTGTGGCAAAGCATTTCCTGTATTTCTCCCTCTCGCAGTGGTCCTTCAATCAGGGTTGAGTTATGACCAGTCTGGCCCACACACAGCGATCTCTGCTTCCTCATTAGGCCTTCATTAACCCTCTCAAGCTGAGCTTCCACTCAGCTTACCAGCGGATGTGTTTGAACACCATTCTTCATTTCCCACAATCCCCCGCTGCTCAGCACAGTGTACGGGAACTGTGGTTCAGTGCCGGGCTTTCAGCACATTTACTGTAAAATGACATACAAGGCTCTGGGGACATACATTGACCTAATGTGCTGCACAGACACATTCATGAAGAGAAACTGCTTTTGGATGTGTCAAATGCATGTCATTATTTTGACAAATAATATCCCTTTTGCGACGCCTCAATAGCTTTAAAAATGAGACTCTCGAACAATGATGGATAAAGCCGCTGCTATACCTTTATGCCCTTGTGTTCGCCTGAGGATATCTGTAATATAGATATAGAAATATCCTCAGCAGGTTTAAAAAAAAAAGAGGTAATAATGTTTCAAAACTGGTTTTTGATCTCAGATCTCAAATTAAAAGTCATATCTGGTATGTTGGTGGCTGACATATTAAGTTTGGGACTCTGGGAGGCTGATGTGATAAAAGTGATCATATGATCAGTGTTAGTCCCTCAGTAGCCAGTTCACTGTTAGTGTGTGTGTGTGTGTGTGTGTGTGTGTGTGTGTCCATGACCACAGAAAATTGGAGCAATGGTAAACTTGCATTAATTCACCTAGGACAGTTTTACATTAAATAATTAATGTTTAGGAGACTTAACTAAACAAGTGAGCAAACAGTCTCCTGTGAGTCTCATAACCAAATGAACAAATACATTAATATGCTAATGAGTTAAATGGGACTATATTTCAGCAAAATTCCCACACCACAGTATTTTTGTACTTAAATGTATACATATTTAAATACAAACACACACACACAGTGTCTACAGAGAGTAATATAAAACAAATGTTCATATCTTTAGTATTATACACACATACATAAAGTATATATTTATGTACAGTATGTGTGTGTGTGTAAATCTAGGTTTAGTATTATAGACATATAATAATGTTTATATTGCTACCTGTATAATTAAACCTGTAAAATAATTCAGTACTATATATCAGTAAGTATAGTATTGGTTATTAGTATTGTTTATGTATATTGGGATCCAAGACTATTAGTTTGGATTGCACCCTCTCATTTACTTCCTTTCTTCATCCCTCTGTTAATTTATCCTTTATTTTACCATTGGACATCTATACTCTGGGGCCATTTAGATATAAATAGCACAAGGCAGAAACAGAAAGTTTCCATCTCTCCTCTATCTCTCCTAAAGTCTAGGTGCCCCACTCTCTGAACATAATGCCTGAAAAAGGTGCGGACGACCTCTACTATCAGGACCTCTCACCTTTCCATTCACTCTGTGCCTGAGGGATGAGTGAGAGAGAGAGACTCAGATGTAATGATCTAAATAAATGCAGAAGAATTCCCAGCAGGAAATTCTTCTGCCATGTATTTGCTAACACAGTGGTTCTCAACTAGTGGGATGCAAAAATGGGTCACGGGTTTGTTCTGAAAAAAATAAATGCTAAATGCAGCTAATATTCATGTATAGTTATGGTGAATAAATAGGCCATTTGTCCAATCAAACAACATTATTTTGCTGCAAATTGATGTCATTTTGTAGATGCATGCAAAATTAGACAGATGAACATGTTGCATGGCAATGCCTAGTCCTAAAAACCAAGAGAAAAATTCCAAGGTCAAAGAAAATATGAAACCGACTACATTAAAAGCACTTCATTTTTTTCATGTTAAGGTCGTTTTTGATAACTTTTTTTGGGGGTCAGGAAATCTGGATCCTGTAAGAAAACCAGTTGAGAACCTTTGGCTTATTGACATTCTAGATTCTTCTTTGTTCTCAATGGGCGTTTAGGTTTTTGCAGAGATTCCTATGGTTGTGTTGTCCCCTTTTTGTGTCCTAGCCCTTGGTCTTTATAGCCATCTTAAAGATGTCTCTCATTCCAATTCCGAGTTGAAAGGATGAAGAGGCGAAAAAACAGCGCAGGACCATTTTTTCCCTCTATCTTTATGGCCACGGCACCCCCCGGAGACATTCTCCTGCACAAAAATAAAAATGTTACTAGTCTCAAGTCAAGTCTTAACATTTACTCCAAAGGGCAGGCCATAAACTATTAATAGACAGCTATCTATCTGCACAAGGCTGTGAGGGAGAATGATTTTATATTGAATCCTCATGTGGTTTGCCAGTAAGGGGTAGAAGAGGTGGTCCGGTCTCTCGCCATCCCGCAGGGAGTCCTGCTTTATCTCCCTCTCCATCCACCGGCAGACGAGACGAGAGAGGCCATTACAAGGCTGTCTGGGAATATTGCAATATTCAGCAAGGCGATTATCTGACGTCTCCCTGAGAGGCACATTTCCTCCGTGGAGGGAGAGAGAGGCGTACCTGTGGCAGAGAGGGAGAGAGTGAGGCTGATAAGGACCCTTAGAGTTGACAGAGAGGAAGTATCACCTTTCTTGGTTTTAAAGGAGGTCTTTCAGGGCAGGAATGAATATTTATATAGGGTCTCAAAATCTAAAGGTGATCGCCAGCTGTAATGCTTCTGTTTTGCATTTTATTAACGTATAATATAGTTTCTTTGATTTAAAAAATATATGATCAGCGTAACTGTTTGAGTTTAAGTTGAATTGAAAGAGATGCATTTCTAAATTTCTTAGTATCATCTGAAGGTCTGTACAAAGGGGTTTGCAAATTTAGTTATGATTAGTGAAGAAAAATGCAGGATCTTCATTCCTTATTCATTCTACATTTCTTTATGTAAATAAATTCACTAAACCTTTGTTTATTTTCAGGTTTAAGTGACATTTCCAATTCTAGAATTTCAGTGTGGCCTTTTAAACCCCACTGAAAATAATATGCAAATACGAAGGAAATGTTTGTTATTTAAACATTTGCTGGATCTTTGATTTTAGTAATACAGTGTATTCCCTACAGGTTGACGGCAATCTTTCTTTGTGTTGTTTTCTACTCTTGTTCACATGAGCTCTTTGTTTTGGGAACATGGGAAGAATGAAAAGAGGGTTTTGTGTTGAGATCCCTGCTGTACTAGTGTATCATAAAGATCGTAAGCAGGATGGCCGGTCTGGGTGGTCCGGAATGGAAAGAGATGGACTTGAATATGGGATCCGGTCTCCGCAGTGATAAGGGAGTGCTGGGAAGTTTTATGTTTTTTGTTTTAATTTTCCATTTCAATCTTGATGTTCTGCTCCTAAGTGGCATGCTTGCATTCTGGTGAGCTGTGGTTAGAGATGACTAGAAGTTTAAGCTTAAGTGGAGGAAGTGAAGAGTGGAGATGAATGATAATGTGTTCTCTTCTTTTGTATGTATTTAATACAAATTCAATACAAATGGGCTATAAAACCTTAAAGGAAATACTGTCAGTCCAGTATACAGTTGGTAAACTGTGCACAGTATGCACATTTATGTCCCATAATGCAGTTCAATCATCTTGACCTTTTATTTCCAGTGTGATTCTACCTGTTAAGACATTTTTATATAAATTAGGTTGTACAATGTACATGCAAAAATACCTTTTTTATTTTCAAAATGATAACTAGATGGCACTCACTATTTTAAACGTGGACAAATGTGGCAACAATGTAGCATGCGACTGTCCGAGAATTTTAGTATTGAATAATGCACACTGTTTAAAGGCAGGGTAGGTGATTTGGTTAAAAAAAAAATTTGTTATGCTGGTTGAAAGTCTCTTCACAAATACAAAGCAATCACTAAGTTAAGTGGTCTAAATGTATCGATATGTATTTATATCGTCTGTGGAAGGCGTAGGACCAAAAAATGTTCCAATTTGTCCAATCATTGCTATTGTAATAAATGTATTGGCTGTTTTGATGATGCCTCACTGTGTATATCGATAGTTTGCCAAAATTGTTTCACTAAATAAACTTTTGTACTGTTTTAGACATTTTTTGATTTTTTACAAAGTAAGAAAAGTCTCTAAAAATGCCTCAGTGTCATAAATGAGTCCCCTGAGCTCTAGTTATGACAGGTTTGAGTACTAGTACTTTCATATTTATTAATAGTGTTGCCCGTAGCCATGTGTTTACCCAGAGATGCATTGATCCAGGTTTCCATTATGCTAAATGCCTCTTTTCCACTCTTTCTGCAGATCGACTGTGTCATATTCTGCGTCTTTCTGGAGACAGATTATGAGATTTACAAGAGGAAGATGTCAGATTTCTTCTCCCCAGGTACTGTATCTTCTTATTGGAATCTAACTTCATTTTATTTGTTGGTTGTAACACCCACTCAGCTCAAAGCTTGTTACTCGGGTATCAGGCAGGATTCACAATGTCAGGCGTCTGACTGGCGTGACGCCTGGAAGAATTTGTATCATATTTTGTAGTCAAAGTGCACAAATACAGCACAGCAGGCAGTGATTGGATTCCACATAACCAAAACCTGTTTATGGTAATGTACCGCCCAGGCTGGATTATTTAAACTGAAAATGATTTCACCCCACCTTGATCATAGAATGCAATCAGGATAACCGCAGTCAGACTGTCTTCCAATTAAAGGGCTATTTCATTCAAAAATGTATGTTATTGTCACGAATCCGGTTCGTGGGCTTCAGGCCGATTGCCACTAGAGGTCATTCTCCTATTACATTGACTCTCACACCACACTGACTGTTACACATCACCCTGGACTGCATTTCCCATCAACCATTGCACTGATTACACGCACACAGCTGAATGCACTGATCACACACACACACACAGCTGAATCCAATCAGACATGTTACATAAGCCATGTAACACATTACAATAAGGTTTCATTTCTTAACATTAGTTAACATGAACTAACAATTAAAAAAAAATACTAAAGCATTTATTAATATTAGTTAAAGGGTTACTCCACCCCAAAATGAAAATTTTGTTATTAATCACTTACCCCCATGTCGTTCCAAATCCGTAAAAAAGCTTCGTTCATCTTCGGAACACAAATTACTGTTCTGTGCCAGCTGCGCAATGCGGATATGTTGTTTTCATTCAAATCAAAGCGTAAATGACGTAAACAGCGTATCCACGTGGCACAGCTGACACAGAACAGCATACGCTGTTTGTGTTCAATGGATATTCTCCAAAATGGCGCTAGGGTGATGCGGAGGAGACGAATTGTTGAATAAAGTCGTTATTTTTGTTTTCTGTGATCAATGACAAAATTTTCATTTTGGGGTGGAGTAACCCTTTAATGCTAATTTCTACATTTGCTATTAGATTTTTTAAATCAAGATTTATATCTGTTAACATCAGTTAATGTACTGTGAACTAACAATGGACAATTTTTTATTAAACATTAACAAAGGTTAATAAATTCTGTATATTGCTTTGATAGTTTATGAGCTAATGCATTAACTAATGTTCATGAATGAAACATTACTGTAAAATGTTACCATTTGCTGTGAATAAAGAACTTTCATTCTTCAAAAAATATTGAAAAGCATCATAAAAGACACATGTAAGTTATTCCATGAATTCTCCTTGTGTACATATAGACGTAAAGATGTCCAAAGTGCTCTTTTGAGTTGGATATTTTCAATGAATCTGGTTCACAAAACTAACATGAATGATTCGTTCATCATAACTCAGTTGGTTATTCCCCACAGGGGAAATCAACCTACAAATGACTTACTTATATCACATTAAGCCAGGTTAGGAGAAAGCATTTTAACACTGAAAAAAACATAGACACCATGTTTAAAGAATATATAAAATACTACATATTTTAAAAAAAACACACCGAGAGGAAAGGAGAGAAATAGGATAAGCTTTGTGCATTGGAACGTGTTTTTACTGTCTGCATCTTATGGCTCATTGCATTCGCGTCTCAGTTTGTAACCAGCTGCCTTTGAGTGATTTTTGGTGTTTCCACAAACTCAATTCGTAACTAAGCTCTTAGGCCCCTATAACATCTCGCTTTTCCTCGCTGCTTGAGAATCCAAGGAAATCCTCTAGTGTATGAGTTTAACAGGTGTGGAGCATTTTGACTTCTAGTATTTCACAGTACCGATTGCTTGTTTCTGAAGCGCGATCGTTGTAGCCTGGAGGTCCATATGTAGAGCATGACTCAAAGGGGCTTTACTTCTGTCAACACCCTCAGTGATCCTGAACCTCGACGGCAAACCCCAGATGTCGGAGGCATGCAGGACAGCACCTCCTCAGTGACATTCCACCTCACACTTTTGCTTGTCTGTTTCTGGTTGGATCATGTGGTCTATGATGCTGGCTTCGGTTTATGAAAAGATGAACTGTCGTGTGATGGAACTTTAGAAGTCGGTTCCTCGGTTTTCACTTTCTTTGTCTTGCACTTTGGCCTTCTGTCAGTCAATATGACTGTTTTGCTTTCACCCAATCCCTCACTTTGTCTCTCTTTCATTTTTTGCTCCCTCTCCCGCCTTATGATTCGTGGCACTAGCTAGTTCCATGGGAACTTGTCTATTGTGCGCCCATGTAGCGTTTCTCTCTCTTTAAAGGCCAAGTCTCTCTCAGGAAGCCTCTTTTCAATCTCCCTGAGCGCTAAACAAACATATGATGTGAGTGCAGGCCGCACCGGAGCCCTTTTGGACCTTCCCAAGTGTCCTGCTGTCTCGCTCTGCCTGAAGCTCGCTGCACTTCCATGACAAGACCCCCTGGAGGTTTCCAAATGAGCCGCTGCCTGGAGGTTCATCATTTGTATGGACACACACACACACACAAACAAACAGGTGAATGCACAGTACCGGGAGAATAATATAATCCACCATTACCTCCCCTCAAGCACACACTAGGACTCGTGAACCGGGCGGAATAATAAGTGTCAAGACACTCACTTTTTCCGTACTTGTAGAATGTTTTGTTTCTGTCATGTTCCTGTCACACACACACAAACACACACGCACTTTCCTTCTTCCAGGTCGTGCTGAAAGATAGAATTCACCGGAGAATTTGTAATTATATCAGCCAGGTCTGTGTTCCCCAGGCATGTCTCTTTGTATTAGTATTTAGAAATGAGATGTTGGAGGCGCTACTCTCTTAGTTTACAACCAATCAGAATGAGCCAGTCACCCCACTTCAGCTTTCTCCAAATTAGAGGATAGCATTCTCCTCCTCACTCATTCTCTGTTTTTTTTATTTGGACCTCACTGAAGTCTCTTTTGGTTCAAAAATTTGAAGGGACCATATTTTATAGTTTTGCAGTATATGTAGGTCAGAGGCGTCATGCCCATTCAAAGCCCATTCACGTGCCCCCTCAGATTTCTGAGCCAAGTGGATTTTGAATGCAGCTTCCAAAAGACAAAAAATAGCCGAATAATATTTTTTCTATTTGATACAATCACACCGGTGTGATTAGATCGTTCAGTGCGGCACAGCACCAGCTGCTAAATTCAAATCTGCGTTCGCTGGCTGGCGCTGAGCCGAAGACAGACGCGTTTGTACAGCGCTGCATTATAACCAATCACACACGATTCTGTTGAGCTTATGAATGCAATGGCCAATCAGAGACGTTCAGATGAGTCATCGCTGAAACGCGGTGTTTTGTTCGCTTGCTCGCTGACTGAATTATCTGGCGAATTCTCTCATCAGAAACAGCAAAGTGCAGATGTGCGTACGAATGTAAGTAAGATCTTCATTTCACAGTGTAAACCGCTTCAGTGATTTTTAATGGGAGTTTTTGAGAGTGCCTGAACTCTGGCTAGACTGAATGTAGATGTTCTTTGATAATGTAAATGTTCTTTGCTCTCTGTAAAATGAAAGTGTTATAATTAGTAACTTACAATATTGTTATTAAATTCACATTAAATACAAAGTCAGTCGTATTAAAAATAAAGTAAAAAGTCGGGTTTTTATGTGTAGTTAATAGATAACACTATTAGTCTAATTTGCCCATCACCATTTATTGATCAAATAACATAATCTATAAAGGTGCAAAATGCATTTACTTACACATATTTGAGAATCGAGATATTTCCTGATAGAGGTAACACGTTTGGAAATATTTCGAATAAAAAGGAAAAAAATTAATAAAACATAAGCCTATATCAATTATACAGTGCTATTGTGGCTGTGTGTAGGCTTTTTTTCCACTTAGGGGCCTTTCACATGACTTGCATCATGACTTTGCGCCACATGATTTTTTTTTGCAAAAAAAGCAGGAGCTATACAGGAAATAGTGAATGAGTCTTTTGATACATTAGCAAAGTTTTTATTGGCTGTGCTTCAAATGGTCACTGGGAAATGTGACGTAGGCATGAGTCATGTAAAAAGGTCTTTATAATGTTAGTCAAGATTTCTTGCCCCCAAAATAATAATTTAGGTCTGCATGGGCTAAATACTAAATAACAGTTGATATGCAAACATAGGCAGTGAGAGGGCTGCACAATTTGGGGGGAAAAAGGTTTTTCTGATAAAATTCCAATTGTGATTTAAAAAATAAAAGCTCCAGTTTATGATTATTATTAAATCAAAATATGAAATATTATTGTAATATTCCACTGTAGAAAAATATTAAGAAAAAAATAATAATAGTAATTAAGAAAAAAAATATTTTCCAGTTAAACTGTGTTATAATATAATATTTAAGCTTGTATTTTGGTGGAAAACCACAGAGAGCCCTAAAAGCTTCCATTTTGTTGACAACAGCTGATTTATAAGCGCTTCTGATTACAAGTTTGAGAAGATGGTTTGGCTTTTTTTGTTTGTTTTTTGTTTTTTGTTTCCAAATGCTTGTTATAAATGACCCAAACTCACAGCATGTGCAGAGATGAGTTCAGATGAATGCATGTAAATTACACATTGTTGTGCTTCACTTTTGATTAATCATGCAGTTGTATGTTAATTGTGAAATCACAACCATTTCTGCAAGACCTAATTCTTATATTGAATAAATGGTGTGGTTAGGAAGCTTTTCCTTGTGAACATTAGACTATGTCTACATGCTCTTTTGACTTTCATGTACTGTTTTCTATTATATGACCTCTTTAAAAGGAATCTCAATGGTAATGCTACAATGTAAAGAGTAATTCACAAAGTCTGGGCTTTTAAGGAGTTTGAGAGGTCAAGTTAATAGTTCCAAAGTCACACAAATGGTTTTATCATTAAAATGCGGGTTGAGGAGGCAGACACGAGCACTGATTAATAAACAGAGAGAGTGGTCTGATGGGGTCAGAGGTCAGCGATGCAGAGAAGGGGTCATCTGCAGTAATTGCAAA